GCCTGGCGGTGTACCACGACGAGGAGACGCGCCAGTCCGTCACGATTGGCACGGTCGGGCCCGTGTGCAGACTGTTTGTGCGCGGCGCCAACCACTTGCATGTGCACGACGGCCACCACCTCGAGCGGAGTCTTGCGCGGCCGGCGGGCACAGGGCTGCTCTCTGTGTGCAACCATATCGCCACGATCGACGACCCGCACCTTCTGGCCGCCGTCGTGCCGGCGCGGCTCCTCCTGCGCGGTGCGGCGGAGATGCGCTGGGCGGTCTGCGGTGACGCCCTCCGCCCGCAGCTCCCGCCATCTCCCGCGGATGCGCTCACTCCTCCTCCGCCGGTGTCAGGCCACGACGTGTGCTTTCGCGAGGGGTCGATGCTGAAAAAGTGGGCCGAGGCCAGCAAGGCGCTGCCCATCGTCCGCGGCGCCGGCATCTGGCAGAAGGAGCTCGACACCATCATCGCAAAGCTGCAGCAGGGAGACTGGGTGCACTACTTTCCCGAGGGCAAGATCCGGCAGGACGGGCGGATCCACCCCTTCCGGCGAGGCGTCGGCCGGCTGGTCGCCTCGGTGGAGGAGCCGCAGCGGCTGCAGGTCCTCCCCTTTTACCACGTCGGCCTCGACCGCGTGCAGCCGACCACGCCCGGCTCAACCTCGATCCTCTCGCGGCCGCAGCTGGGCACGCACATACACGTCATCTTCGGCGAGCCGGTCGACCTGTCGCACCTCCTCCAGCTGCGGGGAGAGCCGCCCTTCGACCAGCAGCCGACCCTCCTCTACGAGGTGATTGCCCACACGCTCGAGGAGGAGGTGCGCGCCCTGCGCACCGAGCTGCACCGCCGGCTGGGCGGCGAGCTCGGAGCTGTGCCGCCCGAGGGGGGCGACTTTGGCTGAGGCGTAGGGTCGGCTGAAGCCGCCATGGACCACACTCTGGACGCGGCGATGGATTGCGACGAGATGATTGATTCGATCGTGGGGAGAGAGCTGTCCGCGGGCGCGGGCACCTCTCCGCTTTCCCGCTTGCGACACGTTGTCACAGCTGGAGACGACAGCGCCGCGACCTCGTACTGGTTGCTCATTCTTTTTGTGCACATATAGTCAAATAAGAGTGCAAGTGCCGCGCGCGCTGCCGACTGCCGTGTATCGTGTATGTGCAGGCCGAGGGAGTCCCGGCTCCTCCCGCTCGAGGAGTCCCGAGACATGTCGCTTGTCGGTCAGACTTTTGAGAGAGCTCCCCTCGGGGATAAAGTAAGAGCTCCTACATCCTACTGAGCTACTGTCTGCCCGCGCCGCCTAGCTCTCTGGACTCTGCGGACGGGCCCCTCACACCCTTTAAGTACGGGTCATGTAGTCCCCAACACACTCGCTGTCGTGGGACGGTGGGATCGCTAATCGCTTGTCATGTGAGAACTGACATGTGACAACTCTGAGAGAGTGCGTTGTGTTCCTTTTGCTGTCCGCTTTCTCTTCGTTTGTGAATGCCGGGCCCGGCCCCCGTCCGTTTCGGCGGGCCGAAATTTTCTTTCTTCTCTCCCTTGGCCTTGCCCTCATGACATGAGTGGAGGGACGTAAATCGTGGGCTGTCTCGCCGCATGTCGACGCAGGGAGAATTCTTTTGGTCCTGATTTCTGGTTCGCGGCCTTCTCCGGAGTCTCGACTCACCACCCGCCCGCCCAACGTTGTTTCTTTGTTTCTCAGGCACTCTCTCCTTGACCCTCGGCTCGAGCGTGTAGGCGTTACGTGGCTGGGTTCACAGTAGGGTGATAAGAAACAAGAACCTCGCATGCGACGACAGTGAGGGTGTGAGAGACAGACGCGCTGCGCGTAGGCGGCGCGTGGGCGGGTGGCCCGCCCGGCCGTCGGTGAGCACCGGACGCGAGGGTCGGTCGGCTCCTAACTCGCTGCATATAGTAGCGATGAGCTCACTATAGCTAGAGCTCACACTAGAGGCCGTCATCGCATTCGCCCTGGGACCCAGCGCTGACTTCTGACTGTCGTTGCTGTCTATCCCTTTCTCGACTGTCTGAGCTTGTGCGTCTTGGCCGGGGTTGTGTTTTTGTGTGAGAGACAGACCCAGGGAACTTGGAGCACTTGGAGTGCAGTAGGAAGGTCTTTCATCTTACACAGCGATTGTAAGAAACTAGCAGGTTGGCTCGCTAGTCGCTCGCCGGGCCCGCGCAGCACGCGCGGGCCTTTTTTGTGGTTGATAAAGGTGGCACCTTCGACATTGGCGGTGGTGCGGGGGATTGGCAGGGGAGGCGGCGGGATTGACAGGGGATGGGGCGGCCACGAGCGGAGCGGCGGCGAGAGGGGGGGCGGCGGCGAGGGCGCGAGAGGCGCCAACGAGCGAGGAGCCCGCGCCATCAGAGGGACGCGCCGCTGCGAGATGGAGGGCGGCGGTGACGGAGGCAAGGCGCGAGGCGGCGGCGGCGGCGGCGGCGGCGGCGGAGGCGGCGGCGGCGGCGGCGGCGGCGAGAACGGCGGCACCGAGTTGTCTCGGTGAGCGGAGCGGCGGCAGGAGGAGGAGCAGCTCGCTGTTGAGCGCTTTTGAGCCTGGGATCCCATGTCACTGCGACCGGCGTGCCCGGGAACAGAGATCGCGCGCGCGCCGCCACTCACGACGCGCGCGCGATCTTCGCGGAGTCGGGTCCCCAGAGGGAAGCGGTCTTCTCGGCCGACGTCCAGCGGCGCGCAAGGAAGCAGGCGCAGCGGTGCACCGCGGCGCGTTGATTCGCGACCACCGTCGGCCGCGGACGGCGGCGGCGTGGCGGCCGCGGGCGCTCGCGAGACGCGCCGCTCTGCTCTGGTACGGTTCGTTCGACACGTTGTGCCGCCACACGCCCGGCGGCCGCGGGTCCCAGAAGTGGTTGCGCGGGCCTCTTCCTTGCGGCCGCGGGACGGCGTCGGGCACGTCGTCGGTCGCAACAGATGCGCGGCGAGCCGAGGCACGTCGTTGCTGGCGCTGGTGGTTTGAGGTCGGCATCGTCCAGAGCTCGGTCGAGAGTCGAGAGCTTCAGCTGGCCGAGGGTGCCACCTTTATCGATCAACACTTTCGATAGACCGAAAGTAAGATCGTTCGGTGCAGAAACGCCGGCCATGCCCATGTAACGCACTTGTGCTCGCTTTTTTTGATTTTTTGGTTTAGAAGTGTCTCCAAGTCTTCTGGACCCATCGATGGCCGTCGCCTCGTCGCGGCACCATCGTGCCCGGCCTGGGCGAAGCGTCGTCGCGGGTTCCCGCCGCAGTTCGACGGCAAGCCGTGCGAGCCTGCCGAGGAGGAGGACATGTGGCTGTGCAGAGCCGACGGCCGCGCGCGCAGCACCGCCGACCTGAAGCGCCTGGCGACCGCCGCTCGGGTGCGAGCGAAACGAGCAGGAGATGCAGCCGCCGCGAACACGCGCGATCGGCAGGCGCGCGACCAGCGCCGCCGGCAGCGTGAGCAGCACGACCGGCGCGCAGCGCCGGCGGTCGCCAAGACCGTGCGCCCACAACGCGGCCAGTGCGGCTGCCCGGCGCACGCGGTGTGCGGCATGTGCGTCGACCAGGGCAAGCTCGCCGCGGCCGAGCAGGCGGCCATCGACCTGGAGACGCGCTTCCACGCCTCGACGAACGTCGTCATGGACCTGGAGCGGCCCGAGGACGAGACGGCGGCGCTGCTGCAGCGCTGCGTGCACGTCTCCGACGAGACGAAGCGGCGGCTGCTGGGCGAGTGGAGCGACGAGCGCATGGCGCACGCGCTGCCGCTGCACGCATGCGCCTCGTGCGGCGTGCGCGACCCGTCGCTGACGTACACGCGGGTTGACGTGTCGGCGCTGCCGCGTACTGTGTCTGTGCGCGTAGCCGGCGGCGAAGACGAGACGCGGCACGTGTTTGAGCTCTCGCCCGAGCAGTGCGCTATTAGAAAAGGAGTTGCGGTGTTGATCGCCGCGGGAGCCCTCTTATGACTTTATGCGCGAAATGGGAAATATATCTCTTTGATTGATGTGGTTTCCGACTCGCGTTTCCGCCTCACTGGCACTATTGTAGCCCTGGCCGATGCGCGTGCGGAGTTGAAGTTCCGGAGTGAAAATTCGAACGCGTTCTCTCCCGGTGACCAAAAAATGTCCACCTCAGAGGCACCTCCGGAGGCAGGCCGCCGCACGCCGGCGACACAGCTCCAGCTGTCGAGCTGACCCGCAGCTCCTCTTCAGAGCGGCGGATCGAACTGTGACGAAAGATGACTGAGGCGGTTGTCAGGAATCATCGTACGGATCACATGATGGCTCTTTCATGACGGGAGACCGCCCGACCACTCCTGGGTGGCACTGCCACCGGTGTCGCTCGACGTCCTGTGTCGACAGCGTGCCGACAGCGACACAGACCATGTGGGACGCGTCGAGTATCGACCTCTACTGCTTACCCAGCCTTCGAGTGTATCCTGGCTGTGGTCCCACACCCACTGGTGTCCATCTCAGAGACCGCAGGAGGTCATGAGGGTCGATGGGAGTGCCAACCCCACTCAATGCCTAAAGAGGTAAAGACCCAGCCCAGTAGCAGTACGTATAGGCCGGTGTAGCCGAGATTGCGGGTTTGCGTCTTTGCGATATTTCTCGTATAGCTGAAATAGCCCGCCCGGTCACAGCTCACGACGCCCCCCCCCCCCCCCCCTCGCGACAGCAGACAGGCCGGCACACGTCACAGACCCCCCGAGACCCCCGCCTCTCGCGCCGGCCGCACACACACACACACACACACGAGACACCCGTCTCTCGCGTGCCGGTGTGTGCGGCCGGCCCGGGCGAGCCCTGCTCGCTGCTGCGGTGTGCGGACCTTTAGTCACCGCCGTAAGCTTTCTCGCGAGGACGGCGCGCGAGCGACTCTCGAGAACCCCTACCATCTACGCTGCGTACCGCGGCACACAACCTCAGCTGTGACCCTGTGACTGATCTATAAATGTAGCTGACACCCCTCTCCCCCTTCCGGAATCTCCTTGTCGCGAGCGGGAAACTGCCTCGAGTCGCAGCCGTCTCAGTCCTCGCTGCCCTCGCTGGCCGTCGCTTCGAGCTCGGCCTCGTCGTCGAACGGGTTGCCTGGGGTGCCTGGAGCGGACTCGACACGCTGGGCGCCCGTCTCGTCGCGAGGTGGAGAGGGGTCGCGAGGTGACGAAGCGGTGGTGTCAGAGGCCGCCTCAGCGACCGCCTCGCCGCTCGCCGCAAGCACAGCGTTGCACGAGGCCACGCCCTCTGCCGAAGCGCAGCGCGTGGTGAAGAGGAGCGCGTACTCGCGCACACACACCGCCAGCGGCTCGCGGACAGCGCGCGCGGCTCCGGCGTCCGCCTCCGCCTTCAGCTCCTCCGCCCGCCTGTCGATGAAGCCAGCCGACGCATCCAGCTGAGCGCGCTCTGCGTCTGCCCGCTCACGCAGCGCCGCCAGCGCCGCCTCGCGCCGCGCGTCCCCCTTCGACCCTACAACGCTCGCCGCGACTCGTCTCGGGGGCGCTTCGTCGCGGCGGCGGCGCGCCTCGAGCGGCTCACCGCCGTCCGCCTGCTTGGCCGCCGCCTTGACCTTCGCCTCCGTCGCGGCGAGCTTCTTGAACAGCTTCTGGTGCTGCGAGACCATGTCGCAGTTCGCGCTCAGACGCGCGGCCAGCTTGCCGAGCTCGCGCTGGAGGCCGCCGATCGCGCGGTCGCACGCCGCAGTCGCGGCGACTCGCTCCTCGTCCGACAGCCGGAGCGCCCGCAGCTCCTCCGCCGCCCTCTCCTCCTCGCAGGCGGAGGCGAGCTCTCCGAGCCGCGTCGCCTCGCCTCGCGGCGCCGCGGCCACCTCGAG